ACCCAGTAGAGAAGAGGGCGCGAGTAGTAAAATCACTCCATCCGTCCCTGAATTTACTTCCATAGTACAAATGGCACATGGATTAAGAAAATGGGAAATATGTGGTAGAGAGTTGTGCAGAGAAGAGAAAAATGTGTAAAAACTATTGTGAACCACAAATTCTTTGACAAAAAAGAAAGTAAGGTTCTTTTTGGGACATACAAGGGAAAGTTTGGAAGTATTTTGAAGGTACGGAGTATAAATTGGGATGCATCTACCCTTGCCATTGGTTTTAACTCTTTCTTTCTCCTTGTTCCATTGACCGCGCGCTCACCGATTACTTCACTCAGCTAATCAAACAAAGCTCAACTCAAAAATTCCATTCCCATGAAAAGTTCAAAGATTTGCTCTGTGAGAGGCTCGGGTGCGTTATCAGTCGCAGGTAAATCGTAAACACAATAAATTTTGGTCTCGGTGGTTTCTTCTTGCTCTTGTTGCGGTAGTGGGATTAGCACGACCTATAAGGTATTTGTGTTATTGACTGTGTAAGAAGTGATGGATTCAGATTCAGTCTCACTCTTATCATCAATCAATAAACCTATTACCCTAATTCGTTCCACAGAACAAGCAAAAGGGAAACCCATTATGATTTTTACCACTCTGATAGTTACTACTTGCATCACTCTTTCTGCAGCTACAGCTATTACTTTTTTCATTCTTTTCTTCTCATCCGCCATTTCCGTCTCCCCACCATCTTCTACTACTGCTGATGAGGTCTCTAGGCCGCTGACCAAGCTCAAACACCCAGTTGTTCTCTTGATTTCATGCGATGGGTTCAGATATGGGTATCAGTACAAAACCCACACTCCAAATATTGATAGGTTAGTCAAGAACGGGACAGAAGCGGAGTTGGGCTTAATTCCGGTGTTCCCAACTTTGACTTTCCCTAACCATTATTCAATTGTAACTGGTTTATACCCTGCTTATCACGGCATTATAAACAATCACTTTCTTGATCCCAAAACTGGCGAGCCTTTCAGCATGCAAAGCCATGAACCGAAGTGGTGGCTTGGTGAGCCACTCTGGGAGACTGTGGTGAATCACGGTTTGGAGGCTTCAACTTATTTCTGGCCCGGTTCTGAGGTAAAGAAAGGTTCCTGGAAATGTCCTGAGTTCTACTGTAAGGCGTATAACGGTTCTGTGGACTTCCACGAGAGAGTTGATACTGTGTTGAGTTACTTTGATCTGCCCGATCATGAAATCCCTTCATTCATGACGTTGTACTTCGAAGACCCGGATCATCAGGGACACATAGTGGGACCCGATGACCCTCAGATCACAGAGGCAGTCGGTAGAATCGACGGTTTAATCGGGAGGTTGATTCACGGGCTGGAACAACGGGGAGTTTTTGATGATGTCAGCATTATAATGGTGGGTGATCACGGCATGGTTGGCACCTGCGACAAAAAGATAGTCTTTTTAGATGATTTGGCTCCTTGGGTTGAAATCCCAGAGGGCTGGGTCCAAGACTATACACCGTTACTTGCAATTAGTCCACCTGCTAATTATTCAGCAAAGGACATTGTTTCCAAGATGAATGAAGGCTTAAGTTCAGGGAGCGTTGAGAATGGGCAGTATTTGAAAGTCTATCTAAAGGAGGAGCTGCCTAGCAGGCTGCATTATTCTGTCAGTGATAGGATTCCTGCAGTTATAGGTTTACTTGATGAAGCATATAAGCTCGAGAAGACAAAGAAAAATACGGAAGAAAAAGAATGTGGCGGGGCGCATGGGTATGACAATGCGTTCTTCTCAATGAGAACCATCTTTATTGCACACGGACCTCAGTTTGCCCGGGGACGGAAAGTTCCATCTTTTGAGAATGTTCAGATATACAATTTGGTGACCAAAATCCTCAACATAAGTGATGGTGCAAGAAATAACGGGACACTCTCCTTTCCCGATGAAGTTCTTCTTCCAAGCCTGTCATTCAGAGATTAGTTGATATGTGGAACAATTTGAAGAGAGCAATGATATGTGTTTACCGTTTTGAACATGCGTACAAGTTAAAAATGTCAAAGATGAAGAAACTCATTTGAGGGAGGGAGCTGAGGGGTTCACTTTTGTAAGTGGATAGTTTCTCTCTACTTTCAATTCTCTGAGTACTTTATTAGCTCTGTCCAGGGGGGCATACCTTTGAATTGCTAGCCAAATGATGCCATCATGTTGTTGCTATTGTATTATTATCATTGATACTGTAATAAAATTAGCAACTCTTTGTTAGTGATGCTGTCTTAAGTTTTGCACCTATGTTACCTATCATTGGTTTTTTGTTCAAAAATAATACTATCGTAATTGTGTTCTTCAAAAATCACTTTTCGAAATGCCATATTTTCCTCATTCTAAAAAGTGATGCTGGTTAGCTTTTAGTGCGAATGTATTAGTTTTCAGCTGATATATTACAGGTTGATGGAGCAAAATGGGTCCGTCTCATACAAGATACACGCCTTTTGTTCTTTTGGGGACACATTTCAGAAATCAGAATCAAGTGTTTCATTTCATTATCAATAGTTTCGCCAAGCAGGCAAGCATTTCCAATAATTAATTCCGTGCAATCTCATTCAATGGGAAAACACCGATACATATAACATATTAGATCATGAGCAAAGTGAAGTCTCATTTTTATCTCGGGAAAACTGTCAAATAGGCCCCCCAACTAATACAGAAAAGTCAATTAAGCTCCCGAACTCAAAAAACACTCAATTAAGCCCACGAACTATAAAAAACGAGGCAAAACAGTCCTTTTAGCAGGTAATTAAGCGGTTAAAAAGAGATGAGGAAAAAAGGAAAGAAAGAGAAAAAGAGAAAAAGAAAATGTAAAAGCATGTCACATCATTTGCCACACATGCAACTTAACTGGGAACGGTTAATATCCTGCTAAAAGGACTGTTTTGCCTCGTTATATTTAGTTTGTGGGCTTAATTGGATGTTTTTTAAGTTCGGGGGCTTAATTGACTTTTTCGTATTAGTAGGGGGGCCTATTTAACACTTTTCCCTTTTTACCTCTTACCAATTACATCTACTTGATCGTTCCAACGGTAGTAAATATAAATTAAGTAACATGTGACTAAACATACAACAACAAAAAGAAATCACACAACTAACTAAAATAAAACTGTTACTAATTTTCATAAAACTAGTTAAACCAATACCCTGGTAATGGCATAAAAATTTGATAGACAACTTAATTTTGCATATATACGGGTAATAGTAGTATAATGTTCAAGGGTAGAATCCACGAGGAAAATGTAAGTAGAAAGTAGTCAACCGGACCCGTTCCAAGGATGGGTTGACCGGGACTGGGACCGGGCCTTTGACCGGACCGGGGGGGGCTCGGGCTGCAGCCCACTTGGTACCGGCCCGGCCGGTCCGGGCCCCTTTTTTTTTTGGTTTTTTTGAATGGTTTGGTAAGGCCTGGACTCGGGCCGGGTCCGGGTCCGGGTCGGGCCTAGGCCCGGGCGGGCCGGCGGTTCAGAATTGGTGGACCCGGGACCGGCCCGGGTAGCCACCGGGTCCGGTCCGGACCTCCGGTTTGGTTATTTTTTTTTTTTTGCTTTCCTACCCACCCCCCACCCCCCCACCCCCCCCAAACCCCTCCTAACCATCAAGCCCAACCCGGGTGGAACCCCAAAAAATGAAAAAAAAAAATCAATTTGGCCCGGACCCGGGCTCGACCTGGCCGGGCTGTTCGCCAAATGTAAGACCCGAGCACAGACCCGCCCCCTCCCCCGGGCCTAGGCCCGACCCGGACCCGGACCCGAGAACCGTGCCGGTCCTGGTCCTGCACAGTAGCGGGCCGGTCCACGGGCCGGGTGGCCCGACCCGAATCCACCCCTTTTGGGCTAGGTGGTTTGGGGGTAAGAATAAATAAGAAAACCCCCCAAAAAAAACTACCCGACCCGGGCCGGTCCCGGAACATAGCCGATCCGGTTCCAGGCCTCCATTTCCCAGACCCAGGCCCGTCCTAAGCTGGACTCGGACCCGGTCCCGACCCGGGACCGGTCCATCCCTATATTTAAGTCTACAGGTGGTATTGTGCAAACAATACCCTAAGGTAGGGGTGGACCGGTTCCGGTTCGGGCCCGGTTCGGGCCTGGGCCCGGCCGGGCCTCGGTTCAGAAAAAGGAGGCCCGAGCCCGAACCGGTGGTGGGCGGTTCCGGTTCCGGTTCCGGGCCAGAACCGGGCCGGGCCGGGCCGGGCCACCCGGAATGTTTTTTTTTTTCTTCTTCTTCTCTTATTTAACCCCCTACCCCTCCCCCACCACCCCAAACCACCCCAAACCACCTCAAATGGCCCAAAATACCTAATCCAACCCAAAACTTAAAAAAATTTCAAAAAAAAAAAAATTAAATTCCGGCCCGAACCGGGCCCGGCCCGGCCGGGCCGGTTCACTAAACTGGAGGCATGGACCGGTATACCACCGGGCCTGGAGGCCCGAACCGGAACCGAACCGGTTGACCGGGCCGGTCCGGGCCCGCACAGTAGCGGGCCGGTCCGGTTCCGGGCCGGTTGGCCCGGCCCGAGTCCATCCCTACCCTAAGGCCTGAAATGAAACTAATTAAGTTTGAGTTGTATCCATCATATTTGAATACGGAGTAATTGGGGCAGTATGTAGGCTGGAGGCAATAGTACATCAATGGGAATTATGGCTTCTTTTAACTTTGTAGGGTGATGTTAATAAAGCGACCTGCTTATAGGGGTGGACCGGTTCCGGTTCGGGCCCGGTTCGGGCCTGGGCCCGGCCTTGTAAGCAGGCTGCTTACACGCGTTTTTTTGTTGTTGCATTTTTTCTCTTGCATAAAGAACTCTGATATCTATGGGCTCAACAGGCTGCACCAGACAAAAACTTTATGGATTTGGGCTGGACTAGGTTGTACCTGTTCAAAAGAAACTTTTTGTGAGACCGAATTGAGCTTTTGTAACAAATTACATCTCAGGCCCATAATGTTGCCTCTAACGGCTGTGCTGATCTAGCTCACAGTCTGCCTGTCAAGCCTCGATGAAATTACACATATACATGATTTCTAACTAAAAATAGCAAGTATTGACATTTAGTTAGCTTAAAAGCCAAATTACAAAGTATAATATCGTCAAAGCTCTAAAGTTCCATTGCAAAGAACTATGCTTCGAGTCTTCGACCATCAATGAAAAATCAAATCTCTTGAGTGTCCATAGCTATAATCCTATATAATGTTGAAATTGTTGCATCCATAATGAACTTCCCTTCATCTATTATTGTGGTTTGTTGTTTTTTTTTTGTTTTTTTTCCAGTGACCGATCTTTTAAGTAAAGTAACTAATGCTTTTATTGTGTTTGAGCTCAACCTAGCTCATGTCTCAGAAATGTTGAATCACTTGAAATAAAACAAGATTCTAAAGCTACTTGATATGATAACGAATATTAAAGTGTAATTGATGATATCTCTACCACCTCAAAACTTTTCATGGCATATATGGGTTTGAGGGCTGAGCCTAGTCGTGACAATTAGGGGCCAGACATGCGGCGATCAGGATCATAGCCCATATAGGATGTGTCAGGCTTTTTAACCCACAGGGTTGGCTGATTCACGTTGCTCCATAAGCATGCGGACCAAATGATGATCCCCCCTTGCCTGGTAGCATCTTTTATTTTCGGTGAACTTTGCCTCAAAAGACATTGATATTGTCAGGCAATGCCTTGCTAAATCTGCTTTCCCAAGTTGATGCTTCCTGAAAAGACATTGATGAGTAGACTGTCGTTTTTCAGTTTAGGTAAATAAATAATCAAGACTAGGTAGTAAGAATAGCTAACCAACTTGATATTAAAAGACAGAATAAAAAATAGGTTTAGACCTTACAGATGTGAAATTGGCAAGAGTAATACTTTGTATTAGACTATGACATGAACACGGGACAACTTCAAGTGTATTACCAAACTCAAGTGAAGATAAAATATTACTACGTATATAACTTTTCAGAAAAATGGGTGAATGACTCTGCATGTAAATGGGTGAATGACTGCATGAAACTAACAGAGATTTGCAATGACAAACACTATATAACTTTTTCAGAATAAATAAACTACTCAAACTTCAAATTTTTGAACTTTTAATTGATTGAGTATGTACTCAACTTCATAAATTTCAAAGTGATCCTCTTATGCAGTTATGTTATATTTTAGACATAAATAACAATACCACACCATTAAGATTATCTCTAAAACTTCACATAGAAAGATAACCCATGATTGCTCCCTAGAATATGAGCAATCCGAAGTCAGAACACAAGCAGCTTCGGGAAATAAGTTTATTTGTAAATTATATTTCCAATCAAACTAAATCAAATCAAAGTTATGTAAAATAACACTGAAACTCACAAAGGAAGAAAAAAACAATAAATGGATATGTAAACTTACCAGGTAGATTTGAAACTGCTCACCAGGACGATTTCCAGAGTTGTAATAAAGTACCCAATCTGAAAGAAGAAAATAGATCCTAAATGAAAGGGGATGCAATCAAGTATGGAAGTGAAAAAATAGGAAGAGAAAAGAAAGAATAAAAAAAGAAAGAATGAAGAAAATGAGTACATTTTTCCAAACCAAATGTCTACATATTATTATGAGGCAATAAGAGGAGCGATCCAAAATGTCTTCTCATTCAAGTTTGACTTTTTTTGGGTTTACAGCCAACACCTATTTACACAACATATATTATTACCCATTCAACAAAATTGGCTACATATTCAAAATTCAAGAGTTGGACTTCTAAATGCAAAACATATTAATTTCTTAGTTAGATTGTATAAGAAAACTCACATGTACAACTGATGTGTCTGAACACATTAGTCAAAACTATGGTCTACGGCTCCTTTTATCCATATAATAGAGATTTGTTCAAATTTTACAATGCGCAAATTTTTATGGTGAATTATATTAGGATGTATGCAGTGTCCAGCAAAATTTGAATACATTACCTATTAAATTATGGAGTACGTTTGGAGTAAATGTTAAGCTTCGTTTGGAAGATCTTCTACTGCATTTTAGAAATCGCAAAATCAGTCAATCATGACAAATTGCATTTTTCTTTTATTTTTTCTTCTTTTATTTCATGAGTTAATTGAATCATTATTGTCATTGGATTTGAATCTTATGGTAATCTGGCCTTGTTTTGTATTTGTGATTGATTTGACAAATCGCTACCAATGGAACCAAGCCCCCTCCGGAGCCTTCACCTTTGAGAAAGGCCAAATATTTCCAGGTGGAATATCATCCGTATGATACATACAGAGTATAATCTATAGAAGTAGAAGAAAACATTAGAGGAGGCTAAAGAAGGCTAAAAACAACACCTGATACCCATTGAAATTATTGCATTACATTCCTGAAGCAACATTGCTTTGGCTGCTGGTGTTAAGGCAGGGGCAGTTGTGACCGTTTCTTCCCCTTATCACTAATAGATCCATAGATAATGTTCTTCTCTCCTTGAAGTATCAAATTTACTGGTACCAATCAATTCCTTGAACATCATCCATATACCTATAACAAAAGAAAACATTAGAGGAGACTAGAGAAGCCAAAAAAGCAGCAACTGAATTGCTCAACATTTCTCAAGGAAGAAGTATTAGTGTGTTCTCATGTGTGTAGACATGCCAGCTAATAATAAGCCTTTTTATCCAAGCCAAATAAGTGAGGGATTCAAATTCATGTGAGAACAAGTCCAGTCCACTGCAATCATTTTTTTAGAAATTAAAAACAACTTAAAATCACAATTGCTGGTAGTCTAATGAAGAATAATATAGCTATTAAATTCATTATTAACTAATAATTATATTTCTAATCAAACTAAATAATAAAAGTTTCATCTGAATCTTGTTCTATGTTTTGAATCTTAAAGAGTACTAGACTCCTAGTAAACTGAGGTGCTATAGGACAAAGTTTATACTTACCTTAGGAATATCACAACTAAATCTGATTATAAGTATAGAAATATCTGAAAAGAGGAAACTGGGATAGTTCTTAAGAGCAGCTAATCAGTAATTTCATCTAAGAAGACACAAAAGTTGTTATCATTATTCTTAGTTAGTGTATTTTCTATCTACTTCATTCCTTCCTATTAAATCACCGAATTGCTACTTATTAGACCGCCAATAATGTGTTCTTAACAATAAGCAGATGTTGACATATCAATAAGCAGAGTCTGACATGCGCTCTTCTTCTTTCATAATACAACCTCCGTCCCTTATAACTTTGCCAACTTTCCTTTTTTGGATGTCCCATTAACTTTGCCACTTTCCCATTTAAGTAAAGAATTTGTGGTTCCAGTTAATTCTCTCTACTCTGCACAAACCTCAACCACACAGTTTTTACTTTATTAATCCCCGTGCCAGTCAAACTTGGCAAAATTATTAGGGACGGAGGGAGTATACGGTAGTAAAGTCATATTCATCAACACCACAGGCCATAAGATATTGTTTGAGAAAATATTCTACAATGTTTCTAAAGTCTAGACACCCATACTTTTATCAATCTAGCCCAACAAACTCCAGTTCTGAAGTAATCCTTACATCCTAAAAACTAATGAAATAAGGTGTGGTATAGTGCAGTTCCTTTTTAATTTGTACTTCTCTATAGTTTGTATGTCCACTTCTGTGATAAAATACAGAGTACTAAATAAAATACATGTTTTGGAAAAAAATGTGTTTGGACTATTGACTTAAGGTACCCATGCGGCCATCCCCTTAAGGGTGGAAGGTTGAATTTCAAACCCATTCAACCATTCTCCATATTTCCAATTGCTTACAACCATGTAATGTTAGTTTCAACTTTTATATTTTCTCTTACAAATGGTGTTTCTAATAATTCAAATACAATAAATAATATTAGAATGATAAATTTTAAAATGATATTAGAATGATAGAAGTAGAATAGGTTTCAAAACAAATGAGAATGACAGCATGAGGTAAAGGTTTAAAAATTAAAATTTCTAATATTAGAATGTTCCTTAATATTTTGAATTACCTAATAAGTGTAAACAGATACCTTATATAATATTAGAAGAAGAACTTGAAGAGCTATTTAAGTTTTAGAAGAAGAACTTGAAGAGATACCTAATAGCTGTATTTGCTCTATGTCACAAGGTCGAAGTCTACACTTGCCCTTAGCTTTTCATCTAAATATTTTGTTGCTTCATTTGCATTACCTTGTATACGCAGAGCATTAATCAAAGAAGAATAAGTAATAACCGAAGGGGCAATCCCCTCTTTTAACATTCTGCCTTTCAATCCAAGGGCTTCCCTAGTATTACCATTTCTGCAGTGCACCTCAATCAAAGTATTATAGGTGATAACATTGGGAGTTATGCCTTTTGAGCGAAGCTTATGAAAAAGCTTCAATGCTCTATCAACATGCCCAGTTTTACAAAGTCCATTGATGAGAGCATTATATATCGCAATGTTAGGAACAAGATCCTTTTTAAGCATTTCGTCCCGTAATGCAAAAGCCTCATCAACATTACCAGCTAATGAAACACCATGTATCAAGGTACAATATGTAAACTCATCTGGTACAAAGCCTTTTTCTATCAAAGCACCAATCATTTCTCTTGCATCACTTATACGACCAATTTTGCATAACCCTACCACTGCAACATTATATAGAATGGTATTGGGCATGACAGTATATTTTGACCCCTCATCAATGGAATTTGCAATTTTTTGAACATCTAATGATCTGAAGTGAGGAGTTGAAACGTCGTCAAGACATTTAAGTTTCAGACTATTATCAATGCTCAATACTCTTTGCATCAGCATGAATGCATCATTAGCCATGCCATGCCTATATAAGCCACTAATAATTGTGCTGAATATGATCTCATTCGGAATCAGCCCCTTACTTATCATCCCACAATATGAATTAAAAGCTTTGTCAATCTTCCCTTCCTTAACCCATCCACTAATAAGGGCACCGTACGTAACAACGTTGGGCAGTATTCCCCTTGTATGCATTTCATTGATAAGATCTTCAACTTTATTCAACTTCCTAACCAAAAAACATCCAGTAACCAGAGAATTGTACATTTCAATGGAAGGGAGGCTTCCTTGCTGTTCCATGACTCCCTTTACTCTTAAAGCCCTTTCGGTCTGCCCATCTTTACAGTAACCTTCAATTAAGGCTCTATAAGTAATTCCATCAAGTGAACAACCAAGCTCCTTCATTTTGTCAAGAAGCTGCTCTGCTTCAATCATTTTCCCCATCCTACACAGTCCTTGAACAATTGTATTGAAAAGAACTGTGTTTTTATTAAACCCTCTAGCCATAATGTGTTTATACAACACTGTAGCTGTTTCAAACTCATTGGCCTTAATAAGCCCAACAAAAAGAGTACCACAACTAACCTCATCAAATGAAATACCTCTTTCACGCATCATATGCCAGAGATCCAAAGCTTCACTGATAGCACCAGATTGACAAAAACCGTTCAAGAGAGTATTGTAGGTTACATGTGTTGGTTCAATACCAACTTGAATCATTTCATCACATAGGTTCAATGCTTCACTTTTCAAACCAGCCCTGCAATACCCATCTAATAAGGTATTATAGCTGTAAGAATCTAGTCTCACATCCCATCCGTTCATAGTCCTTATTATGTCTTTTGCTTTATGAAGTTCACTGAATTTGCAATAACCATTTATAAAAGAGTTGCAAATAAATATGTTTATTTTGAAGCCTAAGTTTATCATCTCATCACGAAGCCTGAGGGCTTCATCTAGTCTCCCAATTTGACAAAACCCATTTATTAATACACCATAGACCTGCTCATCCACAACTACTGCATCATTTTCTGGAACCTCCATTCCTCGGAATACTTTCTCTGCTTCCTCCATATTCCCCTGTCTGCAATGTCCCTTGATTAGCAACGTATATGTCAAAATGTTCTTGGATATTCCTCTTTCAATCATTAATCTCAAAGCTCTTTCAGCTCCCTTTGAATCACCCTTCTCAACATACCCATTGATCAAACAATGGTAAGTCGCTCTATTTGCATCTAAGCCCATTGCATCCATTTTATGAATAAAGTCCTCAGCTCTTTCAACTTTACCATCCTTACAGTAGGCATTTACTATTGTTGTGCAAGTGTATATGTCCGGAGAAATTCCCATTCTAATAATCTGATCATAAACACACAATGCAGTATGATATTCACGTTTTCGCACCAAACAACTCAACAAACTATTACATGAGAGTAAGCTCGGCATACAGCCACTCATGGGCATATTATCGAACACATATAATGCATTCTTAATTAACCCCTTCTTCGCATAAACTTTAAGAATCATATCAAAAACTGTCCGAGAAAATTTGAGTTCTTTATGAACTCTAACCAACCCATTCCAAACAAGCGACGTTGGTTCATTTGGACTGGAGAGTTCCACAAGCTCATCCAAGAGAAATCGTGTCTCCTCAAACATTCGAGCTTTAGACAATATGTGAACGATTATGAAATAAGCTCTCAAATGGGGTCTGTAATACTGTTGCTTCGAGGCTAGTTTAAAGAAATGATGGGAAGCTTTCGGGTTGAACTTGAGTTTCCGGAGAACGGCCTCAACGAGGGAGTTGGAAAAATCAATTTTGAGGCTGTCCAAGGCGTTATAGCGCCGGAGAATTAACAGTCGACAAATCTGGTCGAGGAGCTCGAATTGAGTTAGTTCGGGCTTTAGTCGGGGCCGTGGACTGTTAATTGATGCTGTATGAATGGCGGCCATCTGCTGCTCGACTGGAGAGGGAAGAAGAATGAGAAGGCGATTGGCGGGAGGCATAAAGTTATTTTCTGTGATTCATATCCTCCATAGACTCTATCTCCATCAATTTGAGCTTCAGCAGTTCAGCCTTGCTCGGTGTGACAAGCATTCCATGAACCGCTGCAGAGGAGTTGAGAACAGTTTAAGGGAGTATTTGTTTGCTTCAACTTTAAAAAAGTGATTTTTAAAGTCATTTTGGGAAAAGTGATTAATAGTAAAAGTTGGTAGTGTTTGAGAAAAAAGTGATTCTGAAAAAGTAAAAGTTGGTAGTGTTTGGTAAAATAAGTACTTTTTGTGTAATAGAAAAAATGAGAAGCAGTTTAAAGCATACTCCTACCTGCTTCCAGTTTTTAGCTTTTAAGTGATTAATTTAAGCAGAAGCTATCATTTGAAAACACTCTTTTCAACTTTTTTTAAGCCAAAAAGTGAAAAACGCTTTTTTTAATCAACCCCAAACACTCCTTAAATTCCAAATACCCGGACGCACAGATTATCGGTGCTTTCTATTTTCCAGGGGTGGCAGGCAAAACGGAACACCAAATGGAAAAAACCTGAACCAAAGTCAATTAAGCCCATGAACTCAAAAAACACTCAATTAAGTCCACAAATTATAAAAAACGAGGCAAAACAGTCCTTTTTGCAGGTAATTAAGCAGTTAAAAAGAGATAAGGAAAAAAGGAAAGAAAGAGAAAAAGAGAAAAAGAAAATGTAAAAGCATGCCACATCATTTGCCACACATGCAACTTAATTGGGAACGGTTAATATCTTGCTAAAAGGACTGTTTTGCCTCGTTATATTTAGTTCGTGGGCTTAATTGGATGTTTTTTGAGTTCGGAGGCTTAATTGACTTTTTCGTATTAGTAGAGAGGTCTATTTGACACTTTAATCCAATAGTAAGAAAATCCAAATCGAAGTCAAAAACAGGAACCGATGTTTGGTTTCAGTTTCATTTTCACCAAACCTAACCGTACCAAACAAAATGAACTTTTTAAAATACGTGTAGTACTCCAATGAACAAATCATTAAGCATAATGTTTTGTTTTTTTCTTAATGGTAAATAGTGAATGTTTGATACTAGATTTATTATTATATTTGCAAGATTGATATTTTATATTTATGATTAATTAAGTGAAAGACTTATATAAACATTTTAGTCTCTTGCTATAATACTAATCTTTTAAATTGTAATTTACATTTGATTTTTTGCATGCCAATGATATTTTGATGTTATATTATTAGTTATTGTTGTTTGATATCACACAAATCTTTATTACTAAAAAATATGTATCAATCAGAATTATATCTTAGACACCATATATATTATCCATCTATTTTCAAATAACTAAGCACAAAATATGAAATTTTATACTCCCTAGCATGCATACATACATTTGTCTAAAAGAAAGTAGAATAATAAATATTTTAAGTTATTTAATAAATATTTTAGTTCATTCCCCAACTTCACCTTTCCGGTATTCTTTCATATCCATATCCTCTACTAATGTACCTCCAACTCTGTTCTCAATCGACCCACTAATGTACCTCCAACTCTCTATAAAACCAGTTTTTTGAGCTCATCACCATACGCTCTCTCCATGATTTGAATGAGTAAGAAACATGAGTTCAATGTCCTCAAAAATTGTTGGGGTAATACTTATTCAATTCCCCGGATATTTACAACACTTTCAGTTTAGGGCTATTTACATACTTTACTTGGATTGAAGTTTAAAATAATTTAGGACTATTTGACATTATTTTCTACTAATATATACTCTCTTCGTTCTAAAAAATCCCATTTTGACTTGGATTGAAGTTTAAGAATGTGTGAATAAAGTGAAAATGTATTGTTGTGATCGAGTAAGAAAAATATAAATGAATGTTAACCACACAAAACTTTCCCCCAAAAAAGAAATGATATATTGTTTTTGGGACATTCCAACATGGTAAGTGGAAATAATTTTATGGGACGGAGGGAGTCCAATCAAATTATTATGTATAAAATATTGTTAAATTTCTCTAAATGTGTATTTCTGAAATTCAAGTTTTTATAATGTTTATAATAACGCGTCAATTAAATATAATTACAGTCAAAATTGTTCATTGGCAAATGTGCAAATCAAATTGTTATCATTAATAAAGAGTAGAGGTAGTATATGAAAAGGATAGAGGTGTTATACATAATAATGGTCCCATGTGTGGTACAAGAATACACGCGTAGATAGCACAAAAATAAGAGGTTTCCTATAAACATGAATTTTAAGAGTGATAAAAAGTTTGGAGTAGTAGATATAATTTTTGTTAAACAAATTCTTCCGCACCATCAAATTATCATAGTTTGCTCAGATAAATTAATAATGATATGTTTCTTAGGCAAATTACAGCACCATCAAATTATCATATATAGCTTGCTCATACAAATCACTAAAGATATTGCAATTCAATAATTTAAATACAAATAAATGATGCAATTATAATCTTGACTAATGAAATGAGTCACATATGTGTGGTATCCTCACTTTTAATGGGTACCATAGCACTCATATTTTGGTTAAGGTATATTCATCTTTTTAAAATCTAAGTCATTAATAGGATCCAATGAGCACGGGTAATAAAATTTATTAATTTGATCTCATTCGAATTCTAGGTGGTTAAGATTTTTGATTGATTACTAGTTCGGCTAAGTCTATATATGGATGACAATTTCAATTTGGAATCCGGAGAGATTTAACAAATCTAGACAAGTAATTAACATGTAGTCTTGTTTAATTTGGAACTAAAAACTAATTTTGAAAGGATTTAATATTAATTAGTTGATTTGAAACATTACTATTGTAGCGTTTCAGTTCATTGCTTTAATTTACTACAAACTTATGTCAACTTTACACTCTTGCCATTCAAATTTTATCTTATTTATATTGAATATTTATTTTCATGGTAACATTAAATTACATTTTTCAATCATTATTTCATTTTTATTGTTAAACAAGTCCACTTTGTTCAACTACAATTTCAGTTTCAACAAGCTTTGGCCATGTTTGATACGCAAAAGTCTGTAGCTTCTAGCTTATCTATTATTAAAAAAGTCTCTAAAAGACTCTAGTTGTGTGTTTGGCCAAACAACTTTTTTTAAAAGTCCGTATCTTTTGTAGAACGCTAGCTAAGGTAGGTCGAATAAGAAAGAACTTTTCATTGTTCCGCCTTTCCACAATAACCCTGCTCTCAAGCCGTTCTTTCTTCTCCAACTTCATTCATTAGTGCGCCTCAAGTCTGCAAGCTTCTGTTTCAGTCAACGGTGCTCTCTCCAAGAGCTTCAATCTTTTCATATTCTATTGTCTTTGCTAAACCCTTTTATCGATTTCTCTTCTTCGCGGATGTTTGTTATTTTTTATGATTTTGATTAACAATTCATAACTAAAATCTGTGTTGTATTTGGTAAAAATCTGGTAAAAATCGCATTGGAAATTTGTGTCAACTTTGAATTTAATTTTTTAAATCTCTGGTATATTCTGACGAATTGAAATAAATTTGATTTGATTTGTGCCGAGTAATTTTACCAGTTTGTTATTTTCATTGCCAATTTTACCTGTTTTTGGGATGTGTTTTGTTACTCCCTGATTTTTCTATATGTATTGTTTAAATGGGAGTTTTTCTGCTTTTTTTTGTGTGTGTGTTCAAAGTCATTACAATTTACAAGCTATGTTTATTCATTGTAGTGCAGGTTTTATAGAGTTTGTTCATAAAGATGTAGTTTGTTTGTGTATTTTATGCTCTGTTTTTTGTTTTCAATTTTTTTTGTCTACGCAGCAATTCACTTCAATCTTATGAAGTTCTTATAGAGCTGCTTCCTTTTTGCTTCTTTCAATGCATTAGAATGTTGCGTATATATAGGAATAAAAATTAGCTATGGGCAATTGTGCATGTATTTTATTTTCTCATTGATTAATTATAATATTTGATCATACCCTTTATTGTAATTTTATAATTTCAGGTACTTACAACAGCAAGTTCTGCCAAACATGGCTATTTAAAACAGGCAGCTTTCATGAAACAGTTACGGTCTTTTCCATCTGCAAGCTTTTTAACTCTAAAAAGCTAACAGTTAGTAAAAAGTCTAAGAAAGATCTTTTCAGCTTGTCAAACCAAACATAGCCTTTAGCTAGCTCTATATAATAGACTCCAACTTTAATTCGTCTTTTCAAACATAGCCTAAAATGTAAAGGGTCAAATAGGACCCTATACCTGTCTATAGCGCTCATTTCGCCCCCTTGAATTTAAAAATGTTTCAATTAACACCCTGAACTGAATAAAAAGATTCAAATTTGACTATTTTATCCGATCATCGCCACGTCATCAGGTAATGTGTCAACTGTGCATCTAAGGTGGCAACTCAAGGGTCAAATACACCCCTAAACCAGACCAAATTGTTCAGTTTATCATGAATTTTAACAATGTTTCATTAAGCCTTTAATTGGAAAATCAATCGTGCCTTTAATTGATCAAATGGGTTACGTATAAATACAAGTGTATCACTATGAGTTTAGATAAAACTATACTACGTAAAATATGCTAACCAATTATCTAAGTGATATACATGAGTCAGCTGGGTATTATCAACATAATAATTAAATACTAAAGAGATAATACTAGTAACAATAATCAAACGTGCAGCCCCTTGTTCCCGTATTACGTATGTGTACATGCATGCGTTATTACGCCCCCGCAGTTGAAGCGGGCGGTGGTTGGACGCTGAGACTGGACCGGAAATCTTGGAAGAGAACTCGGGGAAGCCCTTTTGTGAATATATCGGCAAACTAATGTCGCGACGGAACATGCAAAACCCGGATGTCCCCACAAGCAACCTTTTCCCTGACAAAATGGATATCAATTTCAATATGTTTAGTTCGTTGATGTTGAACCGGGTTTCCGGACATATACACGGCGTTGACGTTGTCACAATAGACAATGGATGCTTTGTGAAGTGGAGAGTGTAGTTCGAGGAGAAGGTTCCGTAACCAACAAGTTTCGGCAACGACATTGGCGACCCCGCGATATTCTGCCTCGGCACTAGAGCGAGAGATTGTAGGCTGACGTTTTGAAGACCAAGACAAGAGATTATCCCCGAGAAACACACAATAACCAGACGTTG